TCATCTCACAGTCATCTCAGAATCACCGTATGGTCACAATGATCTCATGGCCATGGTTGTGTTGTGGTCGTCTCATGGTCATTGTTGTATCAAGGCCATGGTCATCTCTTGCTCATCTCATGGTCTTTATGACCCCATGGCCATGCTTAAGTCATGGTTACCTCATGGTCATCTCATGACCTTGATCACCTCATGGCTGTGTCATGGTCATGAAATGTTCATGGTCATGAAATGCTCATGGTCATCTTGTGGTCATCTTATGGCCACAGTCATAGTCATGACATGGTCATGGTCATTTCCTGAGCACCATCATCTCATGTTCATTGTTGTCTCCTGATCACAATCATCTCATGCTCATGGTCCTCTCATGGTCATGATCTCATGCTCATGTGTCATGGTCATCTGATGGTCACAGTCCTCTCATGGTCATGATCATCTCATGGTCATCACATGGTCATAATCACCTCATGATCATCTCATGGTCAACTCATGGCCACAATCATCTCATGGTCATCTATGGTCATGGTTGTGTCATGGTCACAGTCATGGCCATCTAATGGTTATGGTTCTGTCATGGTCACAGTCATGGCCATCACACGGTCACGGTCACCTCATGATCATCTCATGGTCAACTCATGGCCACAGTCATATCATAGTTATGCCAGGATCATAGCTGACTCATCTCATGGTCACAGTCATGGTCATCTCATGGTCACAGTCATGGCCATCTCATGGTCATGAGTAGCAATGGGGAACGAAGACACACGGACTGCCTTGCTTGCTTCAAAGATCCTTCATTGTAACCAACCGAGCCTTTTTAGACTCGAAACCTAACCCAAACTTAACCAAACCTAATCCAAACTTAACCCAAACCTAATTAAACCTAACCCAAAATTAACCCAATCTTAACCAAACTTGACCCAAACTTAACCGAACCAAGCCGCATTGGCTGCCTGCCACTGTGGTATCATTGATGCGTCCCTTTACCCAATCAGCTCTCTGATCATGTGATGGCCACGCATCTCCCCAGCCAATCACTGCCTCACCCATGACATGACCACCGGCCCACTCTCAGACCATCTGACCCTCAGCTGAACCCTTCCCAGGGTGCTTTTTGGGGAACAAAAGTGAACGGAAGTGACCGGGATTTAACAAAGGTGGAAAAGGTCCTAATTCTGTAAGGGTTTTTTTATTTCCCATGGTTATGGTCATCACCATCATCTTATGGTCATGGTCATCTCATGGTCATCTCACAGTCACCTCACGGTCACAATCATCTCACAGCCATGGTTGTGTCATGATCATCTCATGGTCTTGATCACCACACAGCCATGGTGTGGTGTGGTCACCTCTTGGTCAAGATCATGTCATGGTAACATGGTCATCTCAAGGCCTTCCATCATTTCATGGCCATGGTGGTGTCATGGTTATCTCGTGGTCATCTCATTGTCACAATGCCACGATCATCTTATGGACATCTCATGGTCAC